ATGCGAGCATGTCTCTATGTATGTTTTTCAACATACATAGACACATGCGTGAACCAAAATTCTCCTTGTGAAATATCAGGTGGTTTAAAATCTCACTATGGCCGCTCTTCGACTTCTGATACAACTAAGTATATATTTTTTCCTATCAGTTGAGTCAAGTAAGGTTGACACAATACTGCTTTGCTTACTAGCATTTTCACCTACCTTAAATGAAACTGCGGTTTGTAATGTTTACCTCCATAAACGATTTTAGTCACAGTTACTTATGCCGAAATTTCGAAAAATATCTTGCCCACCCTGAGAATCTGAACACGTGCCCTTATGTGACTAAAATATTAGCCATCGCAAAGGTAGCGATAAATTAGAAAATCCTGAAATTGCTTTGAATGAAAACATTGCTAGGAAGGACATATTCCAAAGTTACTGAAAAATAGTTTATCAAGAATTTTTAAATTAAAACTGTTTCCATATATAAGAAAATATTTAGCTTTTAAAACATTTAAATTTTTACCTTCTTCCTTCTAGTCTCTCTTTGTTAGTCTCTCTCGCTTTGTCCGTCTCAGTCTCTCTCTCGTTATCAGTTACAGTCTCTCTGTCGCTGTCAGACTCAGTCTTTCACTCGCTCTCAGTCAGTCAGTTTCAGTCTCTCTCGCTCTTTGTCACTTTCAGTCTCTCTCACTGTCAGTTTCAGTCACTCTCTCTCGCAGTCATTCAATCTTAGTCTCCCAATCGCTGTCAGATAGTAATGTTTTGTCACTCGCTCTCAGTCAGTCAGTCAGTCAATCAGTCTCTTACTCACTGTCAGTCAGTCAGTCAGTCTCTTACTCACTGTAAGTCAGTCAGTCAGCCTCTCACTCGCCGTCAGTCAGTCAGTTAGTCACTTACTCACTGTCAGTCAGTCAGTCAGTCAGTCTCTCAATCGTTGTCACTCAGTCAGTCTCTTACTTACTGTTAATCAGCCAGTCAGTCAGTCCGTCAGTCTTTCACCCGCTGTCAGTCAGTCAGTCTCTTACTCACTGACAGTCAGTCAGTCAGTCAGTCTCTTACTCACTGTAAGTCAGCCAGTCTCTTACTCACTGTAAGCCAGTCAGTCAGTCAGTCAGTCTCTCCCCCGCTGTCAGACAGTCAGTCTCTCAATCGTTCTCAGTCAGTCAGTCAGTCAGTCTTTCACCCGCTGTCAGTCAGTCAGTCTCTTACTCACTGTCAGTCAGTCAGTCAGTCTGTCATTCTCTTACTCACTGTCAGTCAGTCAGTCAGTCTCCCACCCGCTGTTAGTCAGTCAGTCAGTCAGTGTCTTACTCACTGTAAATCAGTCAGTCTCTCACCCGCTGTAATTCAGTCAGTCAGTCAGTCTCTCACCCGCCGTCAGTCAGTCAATCTCTCATTCACTGTCAGTCAGTCAGTCAGTTTCTCATTCGCTGTCAGTCAGTCAGTCAGTCTCTTACTCTAAGTCAGTCAATCAGTCAGTCTCTCACCCGCTCTCTGTCAGTCAGGCTTTCACCCGCTGTCAGTCAGTCAGTCAGTCAGTCAGTATCTCTCAGTCACAGTCTCAGTATCTCTCATGATTTTTATCTTTAATCTTTGACGTCCCAATAGAAATCGCAGGCCATCTTCGAGCAAGTAACTTTTTTGTTCGTTTCATCTCAGACTACTTTCGGCTCCTCTATGGTCATTGAAAGAGTTAAAGTTATTATATTTGCAGAATCGATTTGACACATTCAGGCTCAATGTTTTTAAAGAGTATTTTACGCTCATCTAACGTTTATATGGAAGTATGAACGCACAGAGAACACTCTGCTATTCGTTATTATTCACGACATGTTTCGTTGTCCGTTGGATTCTGTAAAGACAGCCGGCGAGTTACGTGACAAATGTCAATATGAATGACGCTCGAACTTTCGTCTGTTTGTCCATCTACGTCTTATGGGGTTTGAAGAACGGGGAAGAACGGCGGAATATTAGTCCAGGGAATGCAGAATCAGAAGCAGAGAACGCCATACTTACTCACGTTGATACAAGCATGGATACACTGATACGAATTGAAGATGTCAAATAGTCTAAAATCAATACAGGCATTATCTATAAAGAAATGAAGACTTACAATTTTGGAGATAAAAAGCGTGTTAAAAATGAAGAACACTGTTATAACTCCTTCCTTCTTCCCCACCTTTGTAGATCCTACACTCCCACAACTAAATAGTAAAAAGTCCCGTTTCACTCCTTATGTCAGTACTTAAAAATCAACTAAAAAACGCAAAGGGACTCTAAACTGGACAGCACAATCTTCAAATGATGCCCTAAATGGAATCAGCAATAAAAATTAATAGCTTAATTCTAGTTTATTAATTTCTCTTAAATGATAATTGTGATGTTAGTCGTCACTTGTAAGGAACTGGCGATGTTTCTAATGTATCATTCTTTGGGAAACTCCGCGTAGTGCAATAGCTAGCAAGCATGTCTCGCTAGAACAATTACGTATGAGTAGTGAGTTCAATCCTCATTGGGGGTCCCATGCTTTGGGCCTTGTGCCACATCTAAGCTACGCTTACAAAAAAACACAATAATTAACATTCTAGTATTGATGGACATTTCTATCCTAGCTTAAGCTTGTGTAGTCTGTTTTTTTATATTATATTCCCCCCTTCTGGTTAGATGTACTATCCAATTTATTTGTTACTGCTGCTGAATGTTTTAAAAGGATGTGGCTCATTTGGTAAACTCTTGGTTAGCAATTTTGTAATGTCAGTCTACGAGATCAGATGATGGAAAGTCTTCTTCAACAGCTTGACACAAATTGATCTCAGATAAAAAAGGGGTGTACAATTGCACATAAATGTAAATATTTTAGAAATTCTTAATGCGAACGAAGCGTGTGTGCTAAATTGCAAATTAACCAAATTCACCTTGATAGCCTCGGCGTGACAAGGTTATTTAAATGTACTCAAGTCTTCAAACTAATATATTAGTATTGTAGAAATGTGCAATGCTAAGTGGAAATTATCCTGGCACAATTAAAACTTAAACGCCATTATCACTTACACTGGCAAAGAGAGATAGACACAAAGAGAGATAAAGCGACACAGAGGAAGATAGAGACAGAGAGATAAAGAGAGACAGTTAGATAATGAAAGCTAGAGAGAGGTATAAGAGATTGTGAAATAAAGAGAGAAAAAGAGAGGTGAAGAGAGAAAGAAAAACATAGAAAATTGTCTATTGTGTTTTGTTTGTTTCATCCTTGTATAACTATATATTGTCAAGTTGCAAGTCAATTTTTCCCAATTAATCTGATACTGGGTATGACATTAAACTGCATCCAACAGCAAGGTCTCTGATCAGGAGGTTATGAGGAGCGTGGAACTACCTCTTAATTGCTGGTGTTCCCTGGTCCACCTTGACCCGGGGTGGCAGCACATGTTAGGGTCCCATAACTGATCTATTGACTGAGGTAGGCGTCAAAGTGTATTTAAATGGTATTTTTTTTAATTGATGCACGTACGTTTAGGCAATCCTTTCATTTTTTGATTCATAACTGACTAGGCAAAAAATTTTCCAGCAGTAGCTCACCGTTTCCTTCTGCTGTAGACCGGTTACTAACCAAGGCTATAGGATCCAGTCCGCTCTGTGATTTAACTCATAGCTGGAGAAAAATCTATTCAAACATTTTCCAAAGATATTTGTACATAACTAAATATAACGCACCCGATCAGAATTCGAACAGCTAATTTGAGTAGAATATCTAATATATATATATATATATATATATATATATCGATAAATTCCCAAGAGGATAGAATCCAGGTAGAACTCAATGTCCAGGATAGAGTAAGAATATAATATAAAAAGCTCAAATACTAATATTCCATGGTTATAATTTATTATATTGTAATCGTAATCACGATCCAATTCATCAGACCTACAAAATTCTGATTTGGATCTTGATTACGATTCTAATGTAATAAATTATAACCATGGAACTTTTTATATTTTATATATATATATATATATATATATATATATATATATATATATATATATATATATATATATATATATATATATATATGGCGGTTTTTTTCAAGTCATGTGTTTTTGTTATTCAGTAAATTCCATTGAGATTATGTAGGGCCAGTCTAAGAAGCAATGAAAGATTGCATTTTTAAGACAGAGGACATCTTCACTGGTAGCTTGTATTTGTAGACATTCCATTCATGCGTCCATGTTGTTTCGTCATATCGTGACTCTGAATTGGATTAGTGTTCTTATGTTAAAGTTTTAAAACTCACATAATAATAAATGCTTTCTCTCGAAAAAGAAACTTTCTGCATAAAGGAAATCGGCAGTTAACGCTGCCTGAACCGTCATATATTTGAGAGCGTTAAATCGAAAACTTTTCAGAAATATTGTCGAAAAACCTAAGTTAATATTGATCATTAACAAGCTAGTTTGTGGAACGCTTCTACATTTAGTCGGCCGGCTACTCATTGAAATTCAACGATGGTGGTTCAATACTAAAATAACACATTCTTCTGAAATAGCTACTTTTCAAAAAAAAAAAAAAAAAATGGAGGTTTGTAAAGCACATTTTCCCAAAAGCAACGAGACAGTTGAAAATAGAAAGTTTTTCGTTTCAGGAATTTATTTGTATAATACATTCTCACTCATGCATTATGAAAATTTATTCCTTTTTTTCGTAAAGTCTACTCGAGGAAATGAATTATACACAACGATAACTTATTATTATTATTATTATTATTATTATTATTATTATGCAAATGAAAACGACATAAAATGACGGTGGGATTCAAATATACGAATCCCATATGGCAACCAGAATGATAAAGGCACACCAGTCACATCCGTCATATTTAAATTTGTGTGATATTAGGATAGTTTTTAATAAAGTGAGCTCCTAACATTTCAGATTATAAATATAAGTACCCAGATATCTCTTCAGGTCTGATAACTCTAAGACTGTTTCCGATATGAGTTATTCTTAAATACCTAGTTTTTGAATCCTATGTTACTGTGGCTACCTTCTTTTTTTTTTTTTTTTTTAAATAGCGACACCCTCCCATACCCGGCTATTACGCACCTAAACTACTCAAGAACGCAGATGTACAGAGCTTTAAACTTCAGGTTACATGAAGTAATTGATTACGACTAAAATTTGAGGCAGACTTATATTACAGAATGAGTAACTGTAGATAATCTAAACCAAGCAAGACAATTCAGATAACTGGCTGGTTACATTCAATGCCAATCAAGTCGAATTCCCTCACTGCCGAACGGACCAAGAACTACCGCCAGTCAAGATGAACAAATGTCCCCCGAAGACGCACAGTGCCTTGCGAGAATACCGTGCCCCAAACTCACACCTGACCTTAAGCGAAACTCGTACATACGACCCTTTGCGAAAATTACAGGTAAACTGGTCGGCTATCTGGTACCGGCACGGTAAGCAGGTGACACCTAATGCTTTCCTTTAACGTTATAAGAGCCAGATCAGGCTGAAAATGGTATACTGTTGCCATATTTGGTCGAGAGATGACCAGTCCTCATTTTCTAGTCTTGATAGAGATCAAAAGCGTCTCAGAGTTATTGTGGGCGACATTATTTTCCACCGTCCAATCTCACTCCCAAAGGCGGGGCGTGGCGAGACTGCTCTATCGCTATTCCTTAGAAAGTCTTAGATCGAACTACATTTCTTGCTTCTCTCGGGTCTAACCTTCACGACTAGAGCCCGTCATGCCACTTATAATTTAACAAACCACCCACATTTCCTTCTTATGAGAAGTAAGTTCCACTCGTACACCTTCTTCCAGCAAACCATTACCTTGTGGAACAGACTCCCTAGAGGATGCTTCCCCGTTCACTGCAATCTTGACCTGTTCAAGTCTTCATTTAACCGTTATCTTCCCCTCCGATCCATATCAATTACCATTTAACTGTACCGTATTATTTCGAGTTGACTGAGTCTTGTAGAAGGTTAGACTTACTTAAAGAAATATGAAACATGATGTGAATAGTTAAAATAGCATTTTTTTTCCTTTAATTCTTAAACATTGACCCAACTATTTTTCTTTGTTTGGTCAAATTCCATTTTCTTCATTGTTACCGCCATTTCGGGAAAGCAAGTAAACATTATGCGGAAATTGTCTATTGTGTTTTGTTTGTTTAATCCTTGTATAACTATATAGTGTCAAGTTGCAAGTCAATTTTTCCCAGTTAATCTGGTCCTGGGTATGACATTAAATTGCATTCAACAGCAAGGTCTCTGATCAGTAGGTTATGAGGAGCGTGGAACCACCTCTTAATTGCTGGTATTCCCAGGTCCACCTTGGCCCGGGCTGGCAGCACCTGTTAGGGTCCCATAACTGATCTATTGACTGAGGTAGGCGTCAAAGTGTATTTAAATGGTATTTTTTTTAATTGATGCACGTACGTTTAGGC